CCATTAAGGCGAATTACTTAATAATAACTGATGAGTAATAGAAAAGACAGCTGAAAGGAGAAGAAACCAATGAATGGTATGATAACACAGAGACTAGTTCCAGACATAGGGGCAGGGTTGCAGCACAGCAGCTACCCAGAGGAGACCAATTAAGACGAAATGTGTGGGAGAAGCAGAATTTACTATAAGCAATGTCTCATCCTCTAGTATTACTATGTTATCATTTACTATCCTGCACATCCTTGTCATATCTGAGCCAAAACCAACATACAACAGCAAAAGCTAACAAGATATAATGAGGATGGAGAAACTAGAAATATTAAAAGCAACACAAGTTTTACATTAAGGCTTTACTTTTTAAACATTATCTGTACTCTGTCCTCAGTTTCCTGTTACAAGCAATTTTGCTATCTTTAGAGTAGCAAGGGAAGATCTCCACTGATAGCAAAAGACATCACAAGTAAAGTTGCTTAGCCTGAATTGAGCAGCAGTAGGTAATATGACTTTAACCCTGCTCTCAGTTTACTCCATAATACTGATTATTTTCTCTGCTGTAGTGCAGGAAAACACACCAGAAGTGAATGCATTATTCTCCCTGTCCAAGCCCTCTGACCAGGCAGTGTCTAAGTTTGTTGACAGACATGTTTCTGCAAGTGTATGTTTAACACATATAAAGTTAAGCCAGAACATAAATGAACACCAAAAATCAGTTACTGCCAAGAGTAAGCCATGCTTTGTGTACAGTTACTGATCAGGGATCAAGGAAACTAAAGTAAACCAACAACTATTTCTGAATTTCAAAAAGTAGTAATTGCAGCACAGCGATCTGCACATGTTCCTCATGCGGTGTCCTGTTTAATTTTCTTTGCTAATGAGAGGCATTTCCTCATCGGGAGAGTTCAGCTTGTTGTCACAGCTATAAAGAACTACTTAGAAACAGCCACACCTACCCGATGAGTGACAGCTTTGACCCCTTTATTAGATTCAGATCTATTATTCATGCTAAATTTCCTTTTGTGCCTCTTCTTTTTCCCTTTGGCTAATATAGAAGCAATGAGCCCTCACTTAATGCTGCTGCCAGGTTTAATTTTTACATCAGTACTCAACTGTTTTCTTCCTTTTGAGCAAATGCTAGATACTGTCTTTAGCCTAGGTCTTTATTTAAACCTGGAGGAACAAAAACCAATGGGATAAACAAAAGGACAAGGTAACATTTACTTTCCACACCTAAGACAACAGGGGTGGTGCATTTCAGATGTTGATTCTGAGTAATAATTTATCAGAAAGGTAGAAGGCACAAAGCACGTGCTCCATCAAAAATAGTACTTCTAGAGATGCTGGTTTGGTTTCTGAACCAGAAACCTACACAGTTTTTAAAACAGTAAATGGTACACACTACTTTATTTGTTTGAAGGATTTTCTATTACTTAATAGCTGTATAAAATAAAATATTCATGTCCCAACTTTGTTCCCTGTCAAGCACAGATATTATTTTGTAGGGGACAGAGAGCTGGACTATATTTGTTCAAAGATTGGCAAAGGCTTCTTTGCCTACTGCACTGAAAGATTCACTGAGATTTATAGAACATCTATGTAACCACAGAGAAAGTAGATTTCCAGACAGGCCAGAATGCGTTGTGAAGGAAGGCAGAGCTGACTCATGCAGACTGAATTATGGCAAATAAAATTTTGCCAACTGCTGAGCAGACACAAGAGTTTTACTTGCAAAAACTAGCTGCAGCACAGGCGGTCAGAAACATTCAATTACACATGAATTTCACAAGTTTCAAGTGCTGACAATAACACAGTAGTGGGGTTAAGCAAGGTTATTTGTTGCAATTTGCAATCCTTATGATACAATTAGTAAATAATACCTTGGTAAGCCAGAGTTGCAAGTTCATTTCAGATATGTTTGTTTCTCCGCACTCTTGGTAAAGAGTCTAGGCTGGCATTCCCACTGCATTTGCTATAAATGTTTTTTCCCAAAGCTTTTTAGTTTTAGGTCATGGGGTACATATTGTTAGGTCATGTGGTAAAAGCTCACATGCATGCCCACAGAGAGACAATGGCAGGAAAGACCAAATAACACCCAGCCCAGCTACTCATCACAGGGGCCATCAGCCCATCAAAGATCCACCTCTACAAGCCTGGAGGAGCACAGGGGCACAGTGGCAGGTGACAACCCAAGTTACAGACTCCTGAGGAGTGAGCACCTTGTCTGGGCCTTTCCCAGGGCTGACCCAGCAGAGCCACTGTCCAGGTGTGAAACTCATCACAGTGATTGTTGGGAGCAGCCCTCCAGGACTGTGGGGGTTACTGCCTTGGGGGTGTGCTGCACATGATGGGATGCAGGGGAAAAGCATTTTAGCATTGCACAGGACTTATTATGGAACGTTTAGGGGAGGAATCAAAGATGGAAAAAGGGAGGGATGTAGGTGATTTGGGGAGGAACAAGTGTGGGGAATAGTGGGGGGCCTTGGGGGATCATCTGTTCAGGTGCCAGCAACTGGGGAGACTGAAATCCACGTACCAGTACTACCAGTACCTCATGGTGTACCTCTTACATGAATTTTGTAAGGTTCTCTGGAACTACATGTTGCTTTTAAGCCTTGAATGATATAAGAATCAACTTTGAAATAAATCTTCTCAAATATTTCAGAATGTCTTCTGAGTTGCTGTGAAAAGGAAAGTTTTTCAGATTCATAGATTTCTGGAAAGAGGCAGGCATGCTGTAGAGGAAATAAGTACTATGATAAAGACAGGCAAACCAGCGTAAGACAGTGAAGTAAGTGTATGATTAATAGCATAATTAATAAAATCAGGGATTCATTGTCAGGGCAAACAGATCGCTTTGGTTTCAAGGTGGCTTCTGGAAGTCTACACAAAAGCTCTGTGTTGATGAAACACCCAAGTATCCCCTGACTGTGACTCTTGCTCACCAGATGTAATGCTGACAGTTTGAGGTGCTACTGCCACCCTCTGCCTGACATTCTGCTGGACTGTTCCATGACAGGCAACAGAAGCAAAGACAAATTCTTCTCCCAGCTGCTGCAAATAAACACATTGTGCAGTACCTCCAGTTAAAGTTGTTGCATTCAGAGGGTTGGACCTAGTTTTGGTGTCTTTTGGTCAAAATTGTGTTGGTGTTTACAATTTAGGGTTTTTCTGCACTTAAAAGTTGTTTTTGAAGTGGTTTAAGTCTTTCTGAGCAAGTCACTTTGTAACTTACATTGACCTTAAAATTTAACAGAGTTCAAGCCACAGCTGAAATCAATGGAGTATGAAAAGAGACCATACTATCAGCCATTAATGTTTCACTTCAATTTTTGTGCAAGGTTTGTCTTGCTTGCATGCTGCTTCTTGCTTTGGTAAGGGAAATCTATAACAATTTGCTGATTTACTTCATTGATCTCCTCAGAGCCTTTCTTAAAATTAATTTGCCTGAAGAATGTTATAATGGTTAGGCTGCAGAGTCACTGAAAGAGTATCAGTGGTCTAATGGTTCTAATATTTCTGACCAGAAATCCTCACCTGTCTGTCTGTTACCTTTAACCTTCAACTCAATATTTTAAGGCAAAATGATCTTTTTATCCTATGTCAGCAGTGTCAGGAAAAGGGCTTTTACTGCCTGATAAAATAAAGCCATTGGCACTTGGCACTGGCAGTCCTTCCAAAGAGATGCTGCATTGCTGTGGTTGAATTTGCTTCTCCTCTTCTGCACTGGGATGATCTTGATTGGATGCCACTGCCTAGATTACTATCTTGGCACTTAGCGAGCATATTAACTGGAGTGACAACTGCAAACATGGCAGTTTAAACTTGCTAGAAATAGCAAGCGTACAATAACCGTGTCCTGTGTTTCTGCCATGCTGAAGTCCTGGACCATTTTGTCTTACAAGGAGCCAGCTCTGTCCTGCCAAAGTAGCACTCACTAGATTGAGAGGATTTAAAATCAGATGAAAGAGAATAAACTCTTTAATACAGAGTCAAAGCAAATGAAAGGAGCTTTGTCACCATTATGTCAATAGGTTCCTGGTAAAACTTGTAAGATCTCTGTATAGCATCATCAAGTCTTCAGCAGTCCTGGAGTAGTAAACAAGAAAAAAATAACTTCATGGGCACTATTCCAGGTCAATCTATGTCAGCAAACCACGCGTTGTCCAGGTTACAATGGAGAAACTCGATATACCTGTGCATCCACAGTCTATCCTTGACTTTATCCTTCAGTTAGAGAAACTAAAGGGGAAAGCACATATCAATTCCACAGTGATAAGGCAGCTTTGAACCAGAGCTTGTAGTAAGTCAATTTAAGACACAAATCCATAGAAAAGTTTTGTTCTAGTGCTTGCAGAAGTACTTTATTTTTTCACCAGAACCCCAGCCTTTTTCAGTGCAGATGAACAGTGTTTACTGAATTGTTACTTTGAAGTTTTTATAATCCTCATTATTCATTGTATAGGCTTGGTCTTTGTTTAGTACATACCATTAAGAACCGGTGCTGAGTAGAAATATATTTTACATTATTTTTCTCCTAGGTTTTTATGTTGTTTATACTGTAATGGGTGCTTCACAAGTGAGGTTTTTTCTTCGCAAGATTCCCAAGGCAAGCTAATATTAGTATCTTCATCTTACAGATGAAGGACAGAAAAGGTGGAGCAATTTAAGTGAGAACATTTCAAACATCTGCTATTTTTAGATATTTCTCTTGAGACACAAAGGCCTTACTTGAAGGACTTGCTCTGTGTAGCTGCAGGGTTTCATTTGAAGCTGCATGTGCTTTCTTTCCACGCAGCCCATTAACACAGCTCAAGTCAGCACCACAGAAATGAAGGGCTGGTACAAGCTACAGCACAACGCTTTACCATGCAAAGTGACTGAAGTCATCGCTTGCCACAATCCCACCTTCCTTCTGTTCCCAGCCATATGTTCCCCTCCCCTCACACCAGTGCTGGCACCTCCCTGATTCCTTCAGTGAGCTAAACCTAGAGAAAGGAAGAAAAATGTGCGGTTAGTTTTTGACAACAAGCTACAGAATAAGCTTCATATTTATAACAGTATTTTATTATTAAGTATATTTATAATTCTGAATTAGCATTTATATTTATTAATAATTATGCATTAGTAACTATACAATTATTATTTTGCATAAGGTATTATAAAATTAGTTTATGACTAGACATTAATTACATAGTTAGTAGTAATTGAAATGATTTGTTTATAAATTGTTATAAATTTTCTATATAATACCAAACCGGCTAAGTTTTTGATGACCCAACAACAAGCAGGGGGAGTACCCACCACAGCAGCCCCTGCCATAAACAGGCTCACAGCCCTTCAATCAAATTCCATTTTTACGCATCAGTGATTAATTAATTACCAGCAAGATACCTCCCGCTTCCTCCCACGGGACACTCCACGGCACAAGCCCCGCCTCGCTACTCCCGCCACCCTCCGGCCACTCAAGGGTTAAACGCGGGACACGCCCCCTCGCCCTCATTGGGCAGCATTTCCCCTTGCCCCCCCCAGGGGCGGGGTTTGTGCGGGGCGGAGGCGGAGCTTTGAGGTTGCGGCGCATGCGCGCTGGGGAGGCGCTGCGCGCGGCGCCCCG